TTAATCTTCATTATGCAGCTATTAGGCTGTGATCTGACAATGAACTGCATGCAGGCACAAAGCTTTGCCTATTGCAATCACAGAATATGGCAGTCACAACAGTTTAAATTTCTTTTCTAATTAATGATAATATAATTTTCTAGCTACCCCATAACCTTATGGTCATTCATCTTAACTATTGGTTTTGAGTGTTTTGAATAAGAAGATTGCAGTCGGGAACCCAGTGCTCAATGTTATAAACTACTATGCTATTAGGAGGAGTAATTTGTAAACGAATTTCTGGAAGCTACCCATCCCCAGGGCTGCCTCCGACATTTTCTGGTGCTGTCTCAAACACTACACTCAGCTCTGGTGAGCTGGGTAGCCTGTGGCACAGGCAAATAGTTTAGGTGCATAGTGTCCTATTAACCTTGACCCAAACTCTTTGCCTTCCTGGAAAAGGAAAAAAAAAGGGAAATTTCAGAACTGAACAGTTTACTCGGATGATATGAGTCAGGATGACCACTTCCTTGGAAAACTGCTCTTGTTCTTGACAAATTCAGGAGGTAATCTGCCTTTTTCTGGAAAAAAAAAAAAGCAAATATAAACCATCTTTAGAAGATAAAAGGGTTGGTTTTTAACTTATAGGCACTTATAAAGTAGCTCATATAGGAGAATTTGTTTGTTTCGCATCTAAATCTATCTGCTTATAGTTAGATATATCCAACTAGTTTGTCTTGTTAGAATTGTATGTATTACATTTATAGAAATGTCTTTCAGCCTGAAGGATCCTAGTGTGCTTATGAATACTTACATTCATTGCTGAAATGAATTGTCTTCTTGGAATAAAGAGGGATGTAAGTCTAACCAAAGTCAAAGGGATAAATCTAGAATTATTATAGATGAGAAAAGAATAGGTTTTTTTTTCTTTCCTCTAGGAAATGTAATTTCACTGTTATGTGTGTTAAAAACACTTTGATATGCTCATCTTTAGGGAACCAATGTGTGCATATATACTTGGTATGAATCAATTTTATTTGTGGCTGTGTGCTGATTAGAATGAAAGTCTCTGTGGGAGAGGGAAATTGCAGCTATGAAAGGCAGCCACAAGCCTTCCAGAAGTTGCACTCTTGCTTAACCAGTAATTAGTGGGTAATTTCATGAGTTACTGAGTGAGGCTGATAAGGTGTGGGTTATGCGGGTGGTATAATGATGTCTTCTGAGTTTGTAACCCAGACTTCTGTCTGTTCTTTTTCTTTTTATGGGGGATATAACTCTATTGAAACTAATTTTGCATGAGTGTTCTACTATTCAGATGAAGTACATGACTGAGAAATGCTATATAAGTTTAAAGGAGGAACAGCTTTATAGAGAGAACAGGAAAGAGACTACAAATGTATTAAAATCCTGGGGGCTTGAGGGCTCCAGACCCTGGGGTTTTGGAAATTGGAAGGGGGAGGTGGTGAAGGGTAGTGCAAAGAGGCTGAAGAAGCCCTAGGAAAGATAAGAAAGTATGAAGCTGTTTAGGCTACAGCATATTTCAGAGGAAATATAGATGCAGAAGAGTGTGTTTGAACATCTAACTACTTTTGAAGCAGGCCTCGCCCCACAAGAGGAAGGAGACCAGGATTCTTCTTGAATTCCACCAGCCCAGGAGATGAGAAGTGTGGACAGATTCCCTGCTTTGGGAAGCAAGAAAGTTAAAGATACTGAAGGAGCCAACTAGAGCAAATCTTGCCTCGGGTGTGGAGTCTTCTTCTCCTATGTTTTGTGTGTCTTAATCAGACTGTGCCCACCATGCTGGGAAAACAGTATTTTATGGTGTATCAAAGCTTCTGTGCTGTCCAACTTTAATATCCTAAATTTGTAGTTTAGATAAGTCATTAACACCCTCAGCTGAGATGAATTTGTGTGTTTACCTTGATCATCACAAAAAGTCCATCCTTATAGGAAATTCTGGAAGTCATATAAAATTCCCAAGTATGAAATACAGATCATTCCAGGAAAAAAAGACTGTGAATCCAGCAGAACAAGTGGAAACAGCTGAAAACATTCGTTCAAAAACCACGGTTCTACTTCTTCAACAGCATTTAGAAACAATTTAAATGATGAATAGCTTCTAGAAAATATTTTCTATGGTTTTCAAATATTCCTTCCCTCTTGGCCCTTATTATAAATTACTGTTGTTGTGTGAACACAATCTTTATTCCTTTGAATGAGTATATAGAACTTTTCTGCCCTACTCACAGCCTTCAGGATATTACAGATATTGTCATGGAAATGGTTTATCATTTTTCAAAGAGAGAATTCTGCCTCCAGGGTGCTTAGTATAACCTTATTAATCATTACATGGGTAGAAGACTTTATTGAAATATTGGTGCTGCTTGGAACAGATATTCTAATAGGAGCTAATACTACATGGCTTGAGGCAAGCAAGCTAGAAATATCCTCTGTAATTAGGTTAGTAACTTCCATCATACACTATTCTGAGAGGATCCCTTTTTTTTGGGATGAGAAAGGAAGCCATTTCAGAGTGGTACAGCAATGGCACAAGTGCCTCAACTTTTCTGCTCCTACTAAGCCTCTTCCTGATGGATACCAGGCCCCAGAACCCCCAGTTAGTAGCAGAGATGGGCCTGAACCAAAATTCTCAGCACAAATCTTCTCAGTTCTGAGGAAGCTCTATGGACCAGGCTTTTAAAGTTCAGGCCTTTGTATAGGTGTTAAATTTCCTCATTAGCAGCATGCAATACTCTAGCTAGTAGTAACTGAATTAATTAGTCCTAATTTAGCAATTAACTAAAATGTTTGTATGGCCGTGTTAATGATTGCCATTCACTAACAGTTGCTATGCTTTTCCTTGGGCTAATGAGTGTTTAAGTGATTGAGAGTCTAAGGAGGTGTCCTTCATGATATGACTGTTCATAGCAAGCATTTCCATTTTTTTTTTTTTGAGGTTTTAAGAAACCCTGGAAAATGCTTTCTGCAGTGGGATTGCCCAGATATTCTGGGATCTTCTGAGGAAAATGGGGCTTTGTTCCCCATGCAGCCTGAGGCAGCAACACACATTTTCAAAGTCTGTAAAGCAGCCTGTGTATCAGGCCATTGATCAGATAGTTTTTGCCAAATTTTGGGCCTTTTTTTAAGAGGGTGTTTTGTTTTGAAGTTATTAATGTTAATTGAGGAGACTTCTATGTCCCACAGCAGTCAGTGGAGCCCTATGGCTTCAATGACAACAGTGAAATTCCATTTGTAGAAAAAGTGGGGATGGGAAAAATGTTCTTTTGCAGAACTCTGATGCACTCAATTTACATAAAAAAAACCTATATTGTGTAAATAGGTTTAAGATGTAAATGAAGATGGGGGCACTTTATTTTTATGAGGAAGGATCCTGAATTAATTTCCCTCAGTATGTTGTATTTATGCATTTATGAGTATTAATATCCCTCAGTAACAAAAAGAAAATTATAGGAAAAACCAAAAAGAGAATTCGAATTTTTTGTTCTCGGTGAAAACCTCGAAGATTAAAAGCAAAACTCCAAAGCTTTTAATGAAAGTTCAGGGTTTAGAAGCAGGCCATTTATCACAGAAGAAAAAAATCATGGTTTTGAATGAAACATTACATCTGGCTTAAAATTGTAATGAATGATGGGGACAAACCACTTGATTCATTAGGTATGTTGTTCGCTTAGAAATCTGTCCTGTTCCTGTGTTGCTGACATCAGTGAAAACATTGCCTTTCATGTCAGCAGACCAGGCCTGAACAGTAAACCACAGAAATAATTTACTTATTTAGGAGATGCTAAATCTTCGAAACACTGAGCAGTTTCTGTGATATACTGAGTACCCTCGTTTCCCCGCTGGCTCGTAGGGTTAGGCCCAGCATTATGAAAAACTGACTGTTATGGATGTGACCCCTCCGTTTAGGAACCGTCGATACTCTCCTTTGTTGCTTATCAGTGTCATTATTTCCTGAGATACTTTTGTGCATTCTTTCACCACTGTTCAAGCGCTGGAGGATTGTTGTATAAAAACAATAGGATCACAAGACTAAAAGGGATCTCCTGATCCATTGAATTTAGAGGTCATGAGAGCAAAATTTCCATATGGGGAAAAAGAAAGGTTTTGGAAGTGTTCCTATTGCTGCCATTCTTTTGATCAGGGCTGAAATTACATCTGCCGTTGCAGCAGTGTGTTTTGCAATGACCCTCATAAACCCACCCAGCTCCCTCGTAGTCTGGTTTTGGTTCTACCAGCTTGGCTGCAGAATCTGCCCACTCTGCTGGCTGGGGAGCTTCCATCCTACAGCTTGTCCTGTTCATCTTCTGTACGTTTGTTTGCAATCCATTGTTGTCCAGTTGAATAGCTATCCTCTTCTTCGTGTCTGTCCTCATAATAATATACATTTCAGGCAGCATGCATATTCCCTCTCAGCTTTTTCTCTGCTCACCTAAACAAGCTAAAATAATTTAGTTCTTTTCTTGTAAACAGAACTGTACTTAGTACTGTAGATAAAACCTCAGCACTGCTATGCACAACAGCCTTAATACTTCCATATCTTATCTAGAAGTATCTGTTTAGAATAATTTTAAGGACCATGTTAGCATTTTTACGAGCACATCTCTTTAGAAATGTTGTTCTCCATAAAAGGGAACCTCTGCCTTCATTGTAGCCTGGGGTGATACAGTTTTACCAGAACAAAGGTTTCATCCATTGCCTTTACATTATTATTCCTGGTACTGTCATCTCACAACTTGTTTGTTACATGTTTTGACATTATTTAATATACCTTGTTGTACTTCTGACACTATCACTTATACACTCTAATTCAGGGACAGCCTTTGTTGGGGCCTTTTAATACTGCTGTAGTGCTATACAAAAAAAAAATAATTCAGGAAGTAAACATGGAACAAAAATCGCAGCTTTTTCTTTGCTGCTTGTTTTTTCAGCAGTGTCAGAAGCAGAGGACTGGTCTTTGCTAGAATGCAGACAGCAACAGAAAGAACTCAATAATTTATACATCCTGAGACCTCAACACCACCTGAACTTGCCTTAAAACACATGAAAATAATGCTTAGAAAGTGTAAGAAGTCAATTTTCAGAATAAGGAAAAAATGTGAGAGACCACAGCTAAGTAAATACATGGAAAGAAAGACTAGACACTAGAGGAATGGACACAAAAATGTGGAGGTACCTCAAAGGAAACCATAATCAACAAACACAAAGAGAGACGTTGCTGGAAAAACTTTGCAGTTCCACAAAATCTCAAGAAGCCAAGCCACAAGTCTATAGTTGTAGCAGCTGTTAATTTCACAGCCATGGAAGACATGGCATTTGAAGATGTGCCGACAAAGTACAAAAGTCGAGTGAGTATCTATTTTAATAATATGGGATTATTTTTTTAAAGAGCAATACTTTACTCTTTGTGAAATGCTGCCTAGGGAGAAAGGAGTTATCTATTTGGGCTTTGGGCATACTGAGCACACTGGCAGTAAACTGCACTTTGTAACCCCTACTGCACTGTGTTATTTTATTTATGAAGTGAACCATGATGACACTTGAGAATTGATTACCTCAGCTAATTTAGCATGCATAATGATTGAAAAAACTTTAATTCAAAGAGGATACAGGCCAGCAAATAGCCATTCCTACCTGCTGTGTGTTTATTCAGTGCACTACTTCAGTAGGTCCTACTGTGATACAGGAGAATATGTTTTTCACTTGTACTTTCTTACCAGTTGGGGATGCATAGGATTTCCTTCACTTTTTTTCGATTACGGGACTACTCTGTTGCTTCTCCTGGCTTCAAGTGGGTAGAAGACACTTGGCATATGTCCACAGCAGCAACTAAGATCAACCTTAAGGTCACCTTCTAGCCCACGATTGGTGTACCCTTTCCACCTAAGTATAAAGCCCATCTTGCACTGCTGGCTTTAATCCTTTAAAGGTGCACTAGTAACAATTCCACCAGGACCTGTTCCCGACTTATGGTCATTCTGCACTCTGTATTTACTGCCTATTCTCCAGAAAAGAGTTAGGAAGATGGAGAAGACTGATTCTTAGAAGAGCTTGTCAAGCCAATACAAATAGCCTTGAGAAGGCTGATTGAGGCTTCATGCTAAGATACATATAGGGAAAGTGGTTCTGCCCAGTTGGTGATGCCTGGTCAGGGTCAAACCTCAACATCTGTGGAAGCTTAGCTTGAACTGCTTAGTCCAAAGTTTGTGCCTTGCAGTAGAGCTTTGCAGCTATTTCAGCTTTTTTGGATTAAACCCAGCATGCACAGTGATGCTAAAGAGTATAGAGTCAGTCTGTATTCTTTCATTTCTATGCTAAGACAAAATAGAAATCATCAATTTTCAGGAGGTGATGGAGAGAGCATTAACCTTAAAGTGATCACTGTAATTTGAAAAGCAGAGTATGAGAATTGTGAAAAGAAGTGCTGCAGTACAAACGACTTCAAGAATATCAAAGTCAGGTCTGCTGTTGAACAAAAGCAATATGTGCAGGCTCTTTCATCATCTGATTGCTTAAAAAGGCCATGCTCTGTGGCTGAAAATTAGTAACATATTGAAGCTCTTGAAGCTGATGATACGAGGGAAACTAATTACCTCTGAAACCAATACCAAACTATTTTCAGTTAATGTTATCTCCCACTCTACATCAAAGGCTGAACCCCAAACTGACTCAGAATAAATAACAAGGCCTTCTTTGTAAAATATCTCATTTCTTTTGGAGGAAACACGACGGACTTAAGATATATGCACTCTGTCTGAAGTACTTGCCAGCAGATATAGCTGTTTGAGAATGGTACAGGTGTACAGGGAAGTCTGTCGCCTGACTGACTCCTGTTTGTGTACACGGGACATTGCTTTGAGAGTCATCATCCTCCCATGCCGTGCTGTCCTTTCAGAAAGCAATGTCACTCCAGGGCAGGCCCCTCTGGCATCTCCCTGGAGCCACTGATGACATGACCATCACCTCTATGGAGGTGTGTGGTTTTGCACTAAGCCTGAAGAAAAGTCTCTGTCTAATTGTTCCTGCAGTCCCCACCAGTGGCACCTCCAGTGGGGTGGAGGGTCATAAAGCAACCCAGTGGCAGCAGCATCTCCCAGTGCTTTGGTCATCTGCAAAGCAAGTATGAGCTTTGGCATCCAGGGACGGAGGTTGTGAAGGTTTGGAGGACATGGGCATAGATGTGGGCCAGAGTGGGAGAGGGAAATCACAGCGGGTATAGGTAATCTGCCGAAGTCTATTTCAGATCTCTAACCAGTCTTTGTATTTCTGAGCTCCTGAAATTTTGAGTCAATCATTCTGGTTTTGATCAGAGTCGGCTTAACTAGTTTCTTTATAGAGCACATATGGACCTGTCACTGGACTGTTTAACTGACGCATTTACAGTAATCATTCATCTGGCATGCAGCCATTAGCATATAAAACACTAGGTCTGCAAAGTTAACTTTAATAACGATATATTAAAAATGTTCAGCAGACTTCTCCACCTTTTTTTCAGAAAAAAACCCAGCCTGTGGGGTATCAAATTTGCTCATAATTGGGCACAACAGATGAACAACAGCCATCAAAAGCCACTCTGTGACCTGCTGGAGAGGAATGTTTCTTTCTTTATTGATGGGGCAGCTATTTAGTTCTCTTTTTTTTTCATGAGTGGTGAATTGGGCTGGCCAAGGTTCACACCCACATAAGTTTCATTTCTGTGTATGCCACATGCGACTGGTCATAACTAAAACACAATCACATTCCTTCTTCCTTCAAGGCTCTTGCTGGCATAAAACTTTTGCAGGTTTGCGTAGGTTTAACATAGGGATATGGAGTTTGTCTTCCAGATGCATTACCTAAATACTTTTGTAATATTTGGCAACCTCTGGAGGTGCAATACTTCATTTTCCTGTGGCATTTGATGGCTCCTGGGGAAGTCTTCTCCCATCATTGTTAGCATTGCCATACAGGCTCCTTGTGTTTCAGTAGTACTGTAATTATTTAGCATAGCAAAGAGGTGCTTGATGTTTCCATTCCTTTCTTATACACCAAGTAACCATAAGCTGTATGAGTAGGAAGAAGACTAGAAAGTATAGTATATGTAGTTGAATTGCATATCGAATGCAACTGGATTGTACTCATCTCAGGTAAAATAAAAAAAAATTTTATTTTTAAACTTTCCAGTAGTAGCGATTTGTGCTTAAGGTTCAATAATGTAGGCAATTTTAAAAGCTTTTACAAGCCCTTATTTTGGCAAGACTGTATGTACAGAAATCACTAATAAAATTGCAGTGGCCTTAATCAACCCCAAATACAATGTAACGGTGAAAAATAGCATGGGAAAAATGTTCATACAGAAGCATTTTATCAGGCAGATTTTCTTCAAATAAAACAATGAAATGTCAGATCTTTCTTTACAAGTGTGGTGAGCAAACTCAGTTCAAAGTGCAATCTTGTGCTCATTTCTAGATGCTCAAATGTTTGTATAATTGGAGAAAGATTAGGGACAAAAGCGGAACCTGCCAGCCAAGTGTTTATAGTTTTGAATCCTTGTTCAGAAAAAAAATGTTATATCACTTTTGCAGCACTACTTAGCAACCACTTAATTAATGCATGATTGAAAATCTACTACAAGGGGCAATCATTCAAATACACTAAGTAGCTCTCTTTGTATGAGCTGTTCCTGCATTTCTTCCATGCTTTGATGAACAGTGGAACTGTTGATATTTAAAGTATCCTTATTGCCATCAGATTTAGTATAAGTAGAAATAAATAAAACGTTTTTACCCTTAGACTTGTTTTTTCAGGTTCTGTACAAATTCAAACAGACAGTAGGCTACATTTTTGAGGTTTTCTTTGTAAACATAATAGCTATACACTGACTTGTTGAAAACCAGCACCCTCTCTCCCCAAAATAAAATAAAATAAAATAAAATAAAATAAAATGCAGTTGAGGCTCTGGAGAACATTTAAGATGTCTGAGAGTTAAATTTGCACATAAGCAGAAGGTATACTGACAAAATACTGTTTATTTCTGAAGGTAGTTGTTTCTAGTGCCTGGGTGTTTTTAGATTTTAAAGATTACTGTGAAATCATACTGCAGAAGGATCTGGAGTACTGAAGTTCTACTGTGTAACATTGAAATATGTAGGTAATATGGTGCATGAAAAAAGTCTCATTTAATTACAGCTGACAGGTCTATTTTGTAATTAAGCTAGATGGGGACAAAATTATACAAGATGGTAGGATGTTGCCCGAAAGAGGGACTGCTTGGTGTTCAATAATTGATCCCTGACAAAATTAGAATTTGCCAAGTAAAAATGTACCCAGCTAGAATATACGTCTGGGGAGAATATTTTCTTCGAGCAATACACAATTTCAGATTTTATATGAACCAGGGAAAGTTTGGTAGATACAGGTGTATTCTCTTGACCATTTAATAAAAGGTCAGTGAAGCTAAGAGCAGGTCAAGATTATGTTTTTGTCACTCTGATCACGAAGTCTGGTTCAGCCTCAGGAGGAGCGCAGCCAAGTGATGTGCTGTAACTACTGCTCAGGTGAAACCCATCCAGCAAAACATTGAGGCTGTGAGGACAGATGGCTTGGACAGTGTTTTGCCACCTGTATTATCAATTTAAGGGAGAAACTGTTGAAGGCACACCTAGTGATTGGCAAGGTGATGCAGAAAAATGTATTTAGAAGAAAACATGAAGGTCACTCAGGGAAAGAAAAATCTGAGAAGGTCCAGAGATATTTCCTGCTTACTTCAGTGAACAGTGACATTGAGAAAGCTGTTGAGCATTGTCAGAGATACTGAAAATACAGGCCAAGTTGAGCTGAACTGCTCATATTAGTTTATAAAAATACCTGTTCTTTTGGAACAAGCAGGCATAGCTTTGTTGTGCTAGCTGGAAAAATGTGCATAGTAGTTCTAAATTATTTTGTTTCATTACTGTAATGAATCTTACCATGTTGGGTTGTACATATCAAATGATTTTTGCAAACTGTATTATGCTTGAGATGGCAGACACTGAAAATGGGATATAAATTCATAGGCATGTTTGCAGTCCAGTGTGAATCAAACAGCTAATCCTAGGGGGAAAAAAAAGTCATTTTAACATCCATGAAATCACTACCTGGCCACTATGTGTTGAGATGTAGTCTATCACCTGGTATTGACAGCCAGTTTGACTACAAACAATCAAACACGGAAGCTGCGAAATGTTGAACAACTTAGAAAGCTCAGAGCAGGGTGAGTAGCACTGTCCTAACGTGGCTGCATTATTTCTGAGACAGATGAGTTAGTTTGCATGGGTATCTCTGCGTGACATTGTCTTTGGCCAGGAAAGTTACTCAGAAATTACAGTAA